ATGTATGTATGTATGTATGTATGTATGTATGTATGTATGTATGTATGCATGCATGCATGCATGCATGTATGTATGTATGTATGAATGGATGCATTTATGTATGGGTACTATCACAAATTTAGGGATTCTTTATAAATAATTTGTAGGAGAGTTGTGTGAAAGTCAAAAGAACCTGTATAAAAGTTATTCCAATTACATAATTTTGATTTGAGTTAGATTGTTTCTCATTACCTGAACAGTTCATGCATCTATGCCAAGATCTGCAGCACCAAGTCTCAAGCTGCTGGTTTTGGCAGTTTCTGATTATCAACAGGTCTACTTGGCTCAAAGCTCCAATCTAATTTGTGCTGCTGCTGGTAAACTGCTCCGGTCGTTAATAAAATGAGTTGGCTGTCCCTGTTCTGAAGATTGGGACATTTTTAGAATTTCACAGCAGAACTTTTCACTTCCCACAGGTGCTCTTTATGATTTCATTTTGCTGCTGCAGCAATGCAAATTTCACCACTGAGGGATATATAGAGAGGATTATTTGATTCTATTCTTGTAAGTCTGCCCCCTGGAGGCAGAAACTGATGTGCAAATGGGAAACTGGAAAATTCCATTGAAATGCAGTACTAAAAAAAAAAAAAAAAAAAAAACTATTAAAGGATTTGAAAGTCCCTTTGTAAATGTATTCACTCTTGTTTTTTATGTTTATGCCTCATTTTCATACAGTGCTCTTTCAACTAATATAGTATATATATATATATATATATATTCCAGTTAGTTCTTATTCAAATGAAAAAAAAACAACTAAACTATTATCTAAATAATTGACAAGAGGATTTTATATTCACTGGAAATGATTCTGCAGCCTGTTTGAATATGTATACAGATATGTGCACATGATGTTAAATGTAACTCCTGTAAAAGCCCAGAAATATATATTTTTTGAACAGCTTTAAAATATTATACTGTTGTTTATTTTTCCATCTAATGTGACAAGGTCTTACCTCGTAAAAAGGCATTCATCTGTTGTCATTTATGTAAATTACTACAGCAAATGAGCTACTTCTTCAAGAAAATGAAGTGATCTCCATGTCTTCTGACAGTCTGAATCTTTACTTTTCTGTCTTTCTACTTGTGTGTGTAGAACTATTTTTCACTATATTTTATTTTAACAGATCTGAGTAGATGTGCTGAATCCTGAACTCTGTGTAATGTGATATGACAATCTTTTTTTTCTACCAAATCTAAAAAAAAAGACACTGTTTGACTGAATGACCCTTGTTGAAAGTGGCTGAAGTGTGTGTGTGGAATTTTTATCCTCTGTGCTCGATATAGCACTTTAGTTATATGAATGATTCTTGTAAGAGAAAGCAGACTGTTAATATATGAGACGAAGAGACTGTGAGTTGTACCAGAATGCTAGAAAAATAGTAAAAGGCTCTTCAAACAAGATTGAGATCCAGTAGCAGACTCAATATAATAAAGAAAGGTAATTAATATTTTCAGAAAAAAAGAGATATTTATTTTAGAGATACTATCAGCTACATCCTCCATTTTTCTTCAAAATGTTTGGTATCTTTAATCACCTTCCTTCTAGAAAAATGCTGTTTTTTTTTTTTTTAATTCAAAGGGAAGGTTGAGACTTTGGTCACTTTTACCAAGTTATCTTGACACCAGCGACAAACCGTTAAAATGTCAAGGCACTCTTTCAGTACTCTTCCTAACACACATAGAAAGACAAAAACAGAACAGCCACAGCCCCATAGAATTTATTTGTCAATTTAGCTGACCTTTAGCAATAAGACAAGCATGTTGGATCAATCAGAATATGTAGCATCACTGAAAGAAGATGGGTTTGCATGCCTATTTTGTGTTTGAATATAGTTTATTTATTAATTATTTTTTACAGATACATTATTGCTTAAGGAATTATATTTGTTTTTGAGATTTTTTTATTTCAGTGTGAATGTGTGAGTTACGAGCTACATAAAGTATTATTTATTGGTACCATTTTACAATAAGGCTCCCCTTATAGGTGGCTAATAAATAGTTTATAGGTACATTATTAACTCCTTTATTAACACTTTATAAATCATTAACAATTGTTTATAATGCATTAATTATGGGTGACAGACACAAAACTGGCCAGTTTCTTGCCAAATAGCGAGCCAACTCTGCCACTAATATATTTAATCTAGAGTTGTTATATATAAACATTTGTAAAACTTTTTTTTTCAGAATGTTAGTTGTAGATTCTTATAATGCAGTGATAAAGTATACAATTTTATCCTGAAAAATATGTTTACAAATGCTTATTGTGCTTACAAGGGTAACAGTCTGAAATGTTTAATACAACCACCCTCAGTAACACTTTACAATAAGGTTCAAAACATTTGATTAACTACTAGGGAACGCCTCAGGAACAAATCAGGAGCTAATGGGTAGTTAACCAGTACTTACTGGAGGAACACACAGCCAAGTGTTTTTAGGGGACTACTAGTTAGTTACCTTGTAAATGAAGAATAACTAATCAGGAACTAATGGGTAGTTACCAAAGAAAACAAATAGGAACAAATCAGGAGCTAATGGGAAGTAAACCAGTACTTACTGGGGAACACACAGCCAAGCCTTATAAGGTACTGATTTGTTACCACAGAAACAGAGGAGATATATTCTCCATTTGAGTTTTGAATAAACCCTGCACCAGTGAGGTGACAGCTCTTTATTGTTAAAAACCTGTTTCCTAGTGATTAGTGATTTTACTGGATTTCTCTTTTTTTAAACCAATTGATGAAATACATGATCAATTTCATAATTTTTTACTGCTGTCATCTTAACTATGTCTGACTATCACTTACTGAGTACCAAATAATTGGCTGTCTATTATTTCGTTCACTGATGTAGTGAAGCATCACAATTAGGACAAATGACAATTAGGAGCAGTGACCTCACTGGTGCAGGGTTTATTCAGAACCCAAATGGAGAATGTCTACTCCGTTTCTGTGGTAACAAACCAGTAGTCCCCTAATAACGCTTGGCTGTGTGTTCCCAAGTAAGTACTGGTTAACTACCCATTAGCTTCTGATTCGTTTCTGAGGTGTTCCCTACTCGTTAATCAAAGTTTGTGTACCATATTTTAAAGTGTTACCCAGCTCGAGATGAAATATATTGGTGAACAGATTTGACTCACTATTTGGCAAGAAACTGGTCAGTTTAGACTCTCTGACACCCTTAATTAATGCACAATAAGCAGTTATTAATGATTTATGAAGTGTTTATAGAGGAATTAATAACATATATATATTTAAACTATTTATTAACCATCTATAAGGGGAGCCTTATTGTAAAGTGGTACCTATGTTTTAAATAGATTTTTGGTTTAGACATTTTTTTTTTTTTTTTCAAATTGAAAACATTGATCTTGTCAAGTTTGACAATTCTTTACTTTAGAATTAAGATGATCAGGTTTCTCATTAAATACTTCACCAAAATTCAGGCATTTAAAACTTGACATATAATCATTATCTTATGATCTCCAAAAGCAAACTCTGGCATATGATGGTTTTCGTCGAGGTGTGCATATCATTTTAGAAAAGTGTCATTTGAAAATGTTTCATCTCATCATGTGACATCTGTCTGGTGGTTAAAAATTGAAAATGTCACAGTTGTTGTTTATACCAGCAGATAGTGTGAGACAGAATGCTTCAGTATGAACCTGCTCTTCAGGTGAGACATCCTGACTTTTTTTTCCAGATTGGATTTTGTTCCAATTGACAGATCAAATCTGACATTTTCTTTAATAGCATGGAAATGTGAGAACATTCTGAATGAGAAAGCCAGCAGGTGGCCAGTAAACATCTGTTTCAGTGGTGCATGTGGACTTTATGTAATTTCAGTGAGACTGAATGTTTAACTTGAAGTTTTGCTCAAGTCTGTATCTGCGGAATAGGAAGTGATTGCACAATCAACACTGCGTACAAATAATGAAAAAAAGAACAAAAAAAAAACCACACATCACAAGACACGGAACAGCCATAGAAAGATCTTTGATGTCATAGGATGACCTTCACCAACTTTTTAATTTAATTTCCACTAAACCAGATTATTATTTTTTTTTCCACATCTGTTTAACTTTAACATTTTAATAGAATGAGTTTTTTTTTTTTTTTTTTTTAAGTTTGGAACTATTTGGAATTGTTGGTATTGAGTTGATTTGACCTTGAAACTCCTAAGCAGCAGGTGCGTTAGTCAAATTGTAATACTGACAATTGACAAATGTCTTTTATGTCTGGCAATTTTAATCATAATAATGTGCTAAAAAGATCATGTTGACCTTGTTAATGAATTTTCTTTTGGTAGTCCATAAAGTATGGTTTGTCAATAAAAAATAAAAACATAAAAAAAGCTTCTGGTCGATAAGTGACTGTGGTGAAGTGAATAAAAACAGAATGTGACCACAGTGATGCTTCAGTATTCAGCACTCCTCAGTATTACCCATCACCACAAGCAACTGAATTGGAACAAGTTTGCAGGCAGGTAACTCATATTTCTTTAAACTGGATTTTGTTAAAAAAATAAAATATTAACAAAATGTTATTCATTTTCTCAGTTTTTATGTTTGTTTGTTTTTTATGGGTCATGCACATTTATATGCTTGGCTCAATTAAAAGGACCCTTCCTGTGCATAGTCTTCTGACTGCTAACCTCCAAACTCTTTGTCATTGCATAGGCTAGCACAGATGTGCATATGGCCTAAGGGCCAAATGTGTCCTTTGGACCATCTCCATCTGGCCCCCAACATCCTTAGTTAAAAAGAAAACAACGTTTAAATAAGGTAATGGAAACCTGCATTTTAACAATGAAACAAGTTAAACTTAACTAACACTCTAAATTAAAAATCTTGGACAAATACATTGAAAACATTTAGATCAAAATAGGATAAAACTTTTTTTTTTTTTTTAAGCTGGCCATTTTGTATATTTAAGTTAAAAAATATATTGTCACAAGAGTCATTCTACATAAAGTATGTCTTATATTCCTAAAGAGTATTGGGGAGACATATGCTACAACAAGAAAAAGCCTTAAAACGTCGTCAGAGTTATTTGTCTTAAAAAACAATGTAATTTCTAATGATCTATGCAGACCTTTGATTATTTAAAATATCTTGATTTGGCCCTCTGGGAGTAAAAAGTGTCCCACTCCTGGTTTAGGAGCAAAAGGTGCATTTGAGGAAAACCGCATTTAATAAATAATCACTGTAAAATACTTTCAAAATTAGGGTACCTCAAGTACTGCAAGCGTAAATAAATCTCCTAAAAAGTTTACTTTTTAATCTAAGAAGTGTTGCTGTGAACCAAAAAACTTTATGCTTTGAAAAACAAGACGGTCACACTGCCCTGCTGTTTAGAACTTCTTCTTAAGGACCACATTTTCAAAATTGTGCTGCGTTTAAAGATTGTAAATCTTTTCACAAGCAAAGTGAATGAGATGAGTTAAAATGAAAGAAGAAAAATTAAAAGAATCTAACCATCACAGCTTGGAAGAGCATGATTCCATTGATGACTCAGCTCACAAACAATCGGCTCTTGATCACTAAGGGTATATCCAGAGTCACATGTAAATGAGGCATGAGAACCAATGGAAAAGCTTCCACCATGGCGATGACCGTTGACTGGGATACCAGGATCGAGACACGAGTCAGACTCCATTTTCACACCTGAAAATCACACAAAAGTGCATGGAGAGCAGAATCAAGATGGTGAGGGTAAAATGTTAGTGAAAAACATTTTTATCAGTCAGTAAATCTGTCTTACTTTCATATCTGATGCTGAAGCCTGCTGCAGAACGGCTGTTGTCTGTGGCGAACAACAGGAACAGGAAGTTGGATGTGGAAATCAGGAAATGAGGTGCCTGGGTGCCGTGGTATTCGCCAATCAGTGGGGAGGAGGTTGACGGCCCATCCCTGATCTCCAGTGTGTCATAGTTGACCTCGGTCTGGAACCTGAAAACACAAAACAGAAAAGAAAAGTGTGAATAAACTTGACATATACACAAAACAATATCATGTAGTTAGAAAATCATAATCATCGCAGAAAAATACTGAAATACAATCACGACTTCAGATAACAGAGAATGATGATTTCCCGCATATCCATCTATGGGGTGCCATTTGTAAATTTGCACAGTCAAAAATTAACAGCAAAATTTTGGTTCACCTGACCTGTTTAGAACTTAATTGTTGGTATTTTTTATATTCTCTGTTATTTTTTTTAATATCTTGTGATTCTTGTGTATGCTCCATTGTACTGAAACTCTGGCACAATTTCCCGCGGGATCAATAAAGTTCTATCTTATCTCATGCCTTTCATAATAAAAAAAAATTGTTTTATTTTTCAAAGTCATATTTTCACCATGTTGATCGTACATTTATAAATGCCATAGTTACAAACTAAATATGTAATTAACAAGCTAAATATTTAGTTTACAAACTACATACTTAATTTGCAAGCTAAATATTTAGTTCCACACTAAATATGGAGTTTACAAACTAAATGTCTATGACCCCAAAATATATTACGGCAAAGACTGGTTCATCCCAAAGATCCAGTCCCCCGTCACAGAGTAATATTGTGTATGCTGTTCAGCGTCAGGAGGGCTGTGATCAGTCTTACATCGGGGAAACTAAACAGCCACTGGCCAAAAGGATGGCCCAGCACAGAAGATCAACATCATCAGGCCAGGACTCTGTGGTCTACACTCATCTCCAGGCCAGCGGTCACTCTTTCAGGGATGAAGATGTTCACATCCTGGATAGAGAGGAACGATGGTTTGAGAGAGGAGTAAAGGAGGCCATCTTTGTGAAAATAAATTGTCCATCATTAAACAGGGGTGGAGGCCTCCGGGTTCATCTGTCTCCCTCTGTGAGTGCAGCTACGGAGTGCGCTCTCAGGACATTATTACCTGCAGTGTTCCCTCAGTGAGGACTGAACTAGGCAAAAGGGCCTTCTCCTACTCCGCTCCTGTCTCCTGGAATATCTTACAAAAAGATTTGAAGCTCTCGACCTTGACCTCTCTAAGTGGCTTTAAGAATCTGTTGGACTCCTGGTAGGGACCAATGCAGACATGTTCCTGTTTTTAGTTTTATACATTTGTCTTGGAATCTAGCTGTTTTTTTTGTTTTGTTACCTTTTTCCTTTTAGCCATCCTATTTGTTAAAAAAAAAAAAAAAAAAAAAAAAAAAACTGTAGTATGAGTTTTTATAACTGCTTATTGTTGTTGCTGTTGTCCATTGTTGTCATCTTTCTTTGTTGAAATCAGGTCTCTCTTGTAAATGAGTCCTCGAGGCTCAATGGGATTTACCTGTATAAATAAAGGTTGATTGATCTTACAATGCTGTTATTGCTAGTATCACTCAGCCCTCTGTGAATAGTAAACAGCCATCAGTGTGCTAATGATCCATTGTTAGGCTGATGGTCCTTCTTGATCATGTGAGCAGCTGGTTTTGGTTTTCAGCAGCAAACTGGTTGATCCACTCTGAGAAGGTGCTATTTAAGAGACTGAGCTGAATACAGCACCTCAGACTGAGGAAGTCTTTTGGATGAAAGACGAAACGTTTCTACATTTTTTTGTTGTTTTGCTTTGTTTTGTTTTTTGAATGTCTAGAGGACCAGATTTAACTTTTTTTTTTATTTAACTTGCAAGTTAAGTACTCAGTTTGTAACTAAATATTTAGCTTGTAAATTAAATATTTAGTTTGTAACTATGACATTTATAAATGTATGAATGACATGATGAAAATATGACTTTGGAAAAAACATTCTTCTGAAAGACTAATGTTGCTGTTAATTTTTGACTTTACAAATGGCACCACATATCCAGCTACATAGAATCACATAATTTACTGATTCATGTTCTATATGTAAATGTAAAAAAGCACAACATTTCAATAAAACTTACGTATTGCTAATCAAACTATTCTACTATTCCCCATCAATATATTTACATACTCCACAATAATCTCAGTGACCGACTTGTTGATGAAAAAATCTCTACAGTTGTGCCTGAGAATTAAAGTAGACTTTTAGGACTCAGTACTTTGCTGGTTATCAATTTAGTTATTGAATGTAAAACGATTTACAACAAGAGGCTTCTAATTTATACAACCAACCCCACAGTGGTAAAGAAAATCAAGACTTTGAAACCACAAGCATCTGTAAAACAATAAATGAAAAATGAATTAGGCTTTGTGTCAGGCAAGTGCATGCAGTGCAATCCTTTTACAAATGAAATGCCTTCAAGATTATGAAGATAACTAGGCTTTTACATCACGGCCCCAAAAAGACAAATTTCAGCCACAGTGGTTTCAGGCTGGAGCAATATTTCTGTGGCTTGTCCC